TTTTTTTTTCTTTACAATTGCAATTTATTATTCTGAGCATAAAGTATTGAGATCCCTGTCTACTCACTGCAACCATTTTGGATTGTGATGTTAGAAGCGAGAAAAATTAAAATTTAATTACAATTTTTTTAATACAACTGCATTTGCAATCGATAAAATAGATTTGTAAAATATACCGAAAACTCCCTTTCTGATAATCAATAAATAATAACCAGACATTTGAAATTGAATTGTGCCTAATCGAAAAACGAAACACACTATATATGACAGCTATCAAATTGAGAAATAAATAAAATTTTATTTTATTAAAATCAAAATAAAGAGAATTTTCAGTATATTTTACAAGTGTACTCTATCAAATGTAAATACAGTTTTATTAGAAAATATTTCTATTAATCTATTTTGGAAGAATTTTTATTATGTCTTAAAACATGTGGATCCCATTTCAATAGCAGATAAGATACACAAAAACAATAAAAAAAAATGTGTCCTATTTTATCTTAGTTTCAGAGTATATAGCCTTTTTGTGTTCCAATAATATGAAATCATATAAGAGGAATTCGAAAATGGCCCACAGTGTTGATAATAACTAGTTTGTCACTATGTCACTCGTCTTTTTAAACGATTTTAGATTTCATAGATGTTCGTAATTTCTAAAATATTTTCTTATCTGCCGGATATCTATTAAGACTCATTTACATCTATCGTAATGTCTATCTACATAATCGTAAGAGTTGAAATTGATTCAACTTCAATTCTTACAATTACGATGCTCGTCTGGCGATACGATAGTCAATGAGAGTCGTTTATAATATTCTTATTATACCGATGATGGTCAAGACTTGACCGAAACGTCTACTTAATTATATTACAAATTTTTTATATATACGACTTTTTTTCGCTAAAGACATCTTGCGTCGTAGCTATATATGTTCCTTATTATTTATGTTTTGTATTATTAAGCCACATCTAAAAGTTTTTAAAGATAAATAATTACTTTTTATGATATTATAATTTTTCATGATGTTAATGTTAACGATAAGGAATTAGAATTAATAGTCACTTTTAAAAATACATTAAATTTTATTATATTTTTAACAATATATAATTACAAACATGTCGTTAAGAGTTCTACGTAAATTAAAAATCTTAGCACATTTATGTCAGAGTAATGTTAATTTAATAAAAAATATCGGAATTAAAGAACGAAAAAATTTCATATTACTTTACTTTTACTCTACATAATATTGGACAAAATCGAAGACTGTAGATGTATTACCCATTGAAAATATCATCCATGACAACATAGTTCAATGTGTACGTTTTGTGCATGTGGAGGCGCCACTGAACGCGGAGTTCCATCTAAAACGCGGACATTTATATCAAACAGATTTACATCGATATACTTTATACTTATTATTGTATTGCGCAGAGGTAATATTATAAGTCAATAATGATGACTTTATTATACGTTATTATATGTTTTATTTCTACAATTAGGTTTAATTCAAATTCTTAAAAAATAGATTTAAAATTCTAGTAGATTTAAGGTGTTAGTTTAAAAGTTTATCAAGTTATTTATCTTTCAGTATTTATTTTTCACATTTCGATATTATTTCCTGAAGTTACAAAAAAGGCTTACAAGTAATGTCCATAAAACTTAATGATTCGAGATGATTCTAATACCTTTTTGCAGTGTTGGGAATGTTACTTCATGAAATTAACGCATTACTGCGAAACGTAACGAATTGTTACTTTTTTTTCATGTTAAAATAAGATATTAAGTAAAGAATTACAAATTTTTAATAATCAATATTAATTGTCAAAATCAATATCAAAGTAAAAAATTCTAAGCTACAATCTTAAGCCAACAACTGTAAAATAAAGATAAATGAGTAATATGACAAAACTTTTTTGTAGCATAGATTTTTTTTAGTATCGTGCACCAACTACAGCGCGTGCGTACGCCGTTGCACAATCATTTTATGTATATATGAATATACATATATAAGAATTATACAGAGAAACACAGAAGTACAGCCTTTCAACATATGTATCAGTTTGTTTGTGTACATTCATCTACTAGAGAATAGTATTAATAATGAAATACCATCTCTCTAATAGAACATATCTTATAATTATTTAACTTCAATAAACTAACTAATTTAGCTTCGCATTTCAAGATATCGCAAACTTTTTTTTAAGCAAAAGGTAAGAAAAATAACATATATAATAATTATAAATATAATAATCAACTGAAAGATCGCGTCCTGAAATTAAAAAAAAAAATATCTAGTCAATTCCAAATAAAATAAGACAGTTTTAGTGTAAATTCATCAATTATAAATAACTTTTTAATGTTGGTTCAGTCGGATAATATAACGTCGGTTTTCGCACGTTCATTCGCCACACAATCCGATGAATTCGCATCGCACAGCAGTGTACTGTATCAGTAGTTTAGAAGCTCTCGACAACTCAGCAGACAAGATTCATTCTCATGAATCAAGCGTTAAGTTACATTTTTCCACCGGACGCGTGAAATTGAACGCGGGAATGGAATTCGATACGCGGTATGCCGTACCGTGCCGGCCGGCGTTAACAATGTCAATTTCGCCCGGTAACGTCATCGCGACTGTGGCGACTACGCGTCGCTCCGCTTAATCCGCCTTTGTGCGTGATTTGTACGATGCGATCGAACGCGGCGTGCGATGCTCAGTGGTAGTGCTAGACGGCACGAGTCTCGATAAGTAATCTCTCTGGTCTGCGGCGCGATCAAGTGTTGTTTATTACAAGTGGAAACGGCCGAATCGAGGTAAATCCACGCGCCTACAAAGTGGACGGTACGTACGCACCCGTGCACGCGCCTCACACACGCCTCCATACCTGCTTCACTGCAAGCAACGCTTTCGGCCCGTAAAGGGAAGGAGCGCGACGCGACGCGAAATTCTGCGTGAATACCGCGGTGTGTAATCGGCAGAAAAGTATAATTAACGGAGAATTTGTAATAAAATATAAACGAGCGGACAGAATAATATAATAAAGCCTAGAAGCGTTCCTGTTCTTCGCTGCTACACTGATCTGCTCTGAAACTTTCTATCTCGGCTTTTGCCAAACTTCAAATATGTATATATACATCTATTTCATTTTAAGTATACGAGCGTGCACTAGTTTAGTTAGATTGATGATAACGGAGCACGTGCTCCAATTTTCATGATGCGAGCCAGAGGGAAGACTAGTTATCAATGAAAACCGGTGGAAAATTCAAAATATATTCATGATCCAGTTTTAAGGTTGTCTTAAAATGCAACCTACAGAAAAACTGCACGATTATTTCTAGTCATTGACTAAGTGGAAAGACCAGACTTAAAACGATATTACCGTGAATGCATTATGAGAGAGAGAGAGTCTGTGATACGGAAAGCATATAGCGCGGCCTCCATTTTTGTGACGCGCGAAAAATTTAAAAAGGTTTACAGGGCGATCGTAGATCGCGAATTAGAAGAGAAGGTTTAGACGATCGATTTTATTACACGTGAAAGACGTTTTAACGAAGGCAGGAAATGGAATCGACATGCTTATTTTTTCCACCGCGCCTTTATCGAAATCGAACAAAGGAGAGGCTAAAACCCCCTGCCTAGGTAAAAAAATCCTGAACAATCTAAAAAAGAAAGAGAAAGAGAAAGTCGAGCATATACCTCGCATATGTAATTGTTTCTATTCATAAAATACATTTTTCCCTGTGCGCTCTGCATTTCTGCAAAATTTTCGTCCTAGTCATGAGATCCGGTCTTTTTAGCTGTTTGCTTTCACATTCATTATTTGAAATGAAACGACCCAGACGTATTATGTGAATGAGGAATGAGAAAAAAAACTATAAGAAAGTAGGTCGAAAAAACTGACAGACGTTGTAGCTCATCCTGTGTACAGAACGATCCTATTGTGTTCGACTCAGCCTGACGGTGCACAAAGTTCGTCTATCAGTTATGGCAAATTTTTTTTAAATCCTCGTCGAAATTGGAGAAATATTGGAAGCAGAGAGAGAGAGAGAGAGAGAGAGAGAGAGAGAGAAGAAAAAAAAGCAGAATTTTCCAGGATTTCCGGGACTCGATTCATGGAATCGAGAACACGTATGGCAATGCTCCGACGACGTACTTTCCAATGACTCTTACTTTCGTAGTACGCGAACTA